AATGGTACCATTTGTCAAATACGATCTTGCATTACTGTGTTTCCTCCTTATAGTTCTAGATTTACCGTTGTAATAACGGTTTGAACTCTACCAATTGCAATAGTGTTATCACAATGAATTAAAAAGGAGAAATTGATTTTTCAAAACAAGGTACTTGAAATAATAAATCTCTTAACCAATTCGCTTCTTCACTAGCTGAAGCTAAAGCAATTAGTTCAGCCTCCATGGTAGAGTTAACAATTATAGTTTGTATTTTTTTAATCTCCAACAAATAGCACTACCACAGCAAGTAAAGACATAATCAATGGTAGAACATGAATCACCTGATAAGGTGTTCCAATCTGCATCAGAAAAGCCTTCAAGTACAGCAGGATATTTTTTTATAGAACAAATCATAATTTTTTGTTCCAATTAAATATCCCATAACTCTTGTTATAGCATGTCAATGTTAATTACCTAGCTTGCTTGTAAATCTGCTAAGTACTCCTACTGCATAAGCAATATCAGGCCTAGTGCAATCAGTCACATATCTCAAACTTCCAATTATGCTAGCATATTCTTTTTGATTTATTACATCATTTTCACTTTCAATAGAAAATAAGTGAACACTTGAATCAAAAGGAGTTACTACATGCTTGCAATCAAGAAAGTTATATTTTTTCAAAATTTTCTCAACATAGTGTGACTGGTCAACAAATATTCTATCACATGTTCTTGTTATTTTTATTCCAAGAATAAAATTTGCCTCACCAAGATCTTTCAGATCAAAATGGCTTCAAAGAATTTTTTTAGCTTCATCAATAACATTCATGTTAGAGCCAAAGATCAATAAATCATCAACATATAGGCAAATAATAACATGTGAATTATTCCAAGACTTATGATATATGCACTTATCACACTCATTTGTTTCAAACTCATTTTCAATGATGCAGGAATCAAACTTTTCATTCCATTGCTTAGGTGTCTATTTCAAGTCATATAGGGATTTAGTAAGTTTACATACTTTGCTTTCTTGGCATGTTTCAACAAAATATTCTGGTTGTTCCATATAAATTTCCTCATTTAGGTCTCTATTTAAAAAATATATATTTTTACATCCATTTGATGATTTGTAAATAAAAAATTGCAGTCATAGCAATTAAAAGTCTTATGGATGTAATTCTTGTTACCGGTGAGAAAGTAACAAAAAATTCTAGGCCTTCTAGTTGTTTAAAACCTTTTGCAACTAGTCTAACCTTGTATTTATCAATAGATCCATCCGGTTTTAATTTTTTTCGGAAGACCCATTTGTAACCAATAATTTTACAACCCAGTGATAAATCAACTAACTTCCAAGTTTGATTAGAAATTAGTGATTCATTATATCATTTACAACCTCTTTTCAAAAAATAGAATCATGTGAAGATAATGCTTCTTTCAAAGTGAGAGGGTCATCTCCAACATTAAACACATATAAATTAGGACCAAAATCTTTTTCTACTTAAGCTCTTTTACTTCTTCTTAACTCAAAATCATCAATTTCTTTATTTTTCAAAGTAGAAGTGAAAGAACTAGGTAATGACAAAATATTTTGTTCAAACCTTTGACCCCACTATTTTTAGAATCAAAAGGGAATTTATTCCCATGAAAAATAGCATCACCCGATTCTATTATAATATTATCATCAGGATTAACAAATCTATAGGTTCTACTATTTGAAGCATAACCAAGAAAAGCATAAGTAGTAACTTTCTTACCCAACTTTGTAATTTTGGGATCCATTCGCCTCACAAACTCTTAGATATCCCAAATTTGACTTGTGACCTTTCCACAATTCAAAAGGTATCGATTTAGACTTTTTTATGAGGCACACGATTCAATACATAACAAGCAGTTAAGATAGCTTCACCCCATAAATTTAAAGGTGCATGTGACTGAATAAGCATGTCATTAATCAATTCAACCAAAGTTTTATTTTTCCTTTCCGCTACACCATTAGATGAAGGAGAATAGGAGATTAGTGTCATGGATTATTTCCAATGATCTAACAAAAGAATTCAACTCATTTGACTCATATTCACAACCTCTATCACTTCTAATTCTTTTTATTTTTCTTCCAAACTGATTTTCAACCTCATGGAGATAAGTTTTAAAATTTTCAAAAGCATCAGTTTTATTTTCATCAAGAAAACATATGTAAACTTAGAAAAATCATCAATCAAAGTGATAAAATACCTATTACCTCCGCGAGTTAAAATTTCACCAAGTTCACAAATATCAGTATGAACTAATTCTAACAAACCAATTTTTCTTTCAACTTGGAAATGAGGCATTTTAGTGATTTTGGCTTTACTACAAGCCTCACGCTTTTCAAAATTATTTTTAGCCATTGGAATTAATCCCAAAATACTCATAATTCAAACATAATGATCATTAATATGACATAAACGAGCATGCCAAAAAATGGTAGAAGAAAGCATATAAATAGAAGTAGAAACTTTATTCATTTCAACATTCAGTTTAAACATCGCATCACAAGCATACCCCTTCCCCACAAAAATATCCTTCTTCACAATTACATATTGATCAGATTCAATACTTTGTTTAAAGCCTGCTTTATTAAGGAGAAAACTAGACATCAAATTGTTTCTCATGGAAGGAGTATAAAGTACATCTTTCAAAGTTAATACCCTTCCAGAAGTAAAACACAATTTGACATCTCCCGTTCCAAGCACTTAAGTTGTGTGAGAATCATCAAGCATGATGATTTTGGGCTCCTCAAAATGAGTATATTTTTTAAACTAGTCTTTGTCATAATAGACACGACAACTTGCACCAGAATTAGCCCACCATCCATCAACACTCTCAACCATGTTTATGTCGGTAATCACCACCACAAAAGGTTCTTCGGTAACGTTTGCCTGAGGGTTAGGACCATGCTGGAATTTGTAAAATCGAGCAATAAGTCCACTCTTGCCACAAATAAAGCATGGTCCCTTATCTTGAACTTGTTAATTTTAATGTTTGGTTATTTTCACCATTATTTTTCTTGGAAAGTCTACTATTATTTTTCTTGAATTTTTTTTCTTAGGCTTCAAAGAAGTATTTCTGTGAGATTCAGAAGTAGCATTATTTGAAGTAATTAAAATTACCTTTGTTGTAATGTTGCTCTCTTCTGATTGTAAAAGTGCATCTTGGCCCCTTGCATCTTCTTCCATCCGAATTTTCATTATCAAGGTATCAAGAGAGGTTTTCTTTTGTTTGTGGTGCATAGTTTTTAGAAATTCCTTTTAAGAAGGTGGAAGTTTATCTGCTATGCCACAAACAATAAAGTTATCTCCAATTTTAACCTCCTCGGACCTGAGCTCTCCAAGTCTTGAGTTTGGTCTACCACTGATTTATTGTCAACCATTTGGAAACGAAAAAATCTACAAACCACATATTTTTTCGCTCCAGCCTCTTTGGTATCATACTTACTCTGCAATGCTTTCCAATTTTTTTTTGCACTAGAGTATGTTCTATCATAATAATCATAAAATTTATCAGATAGACAATTAAGAATATAATATCGACACTTATAGGAATCGCCATCGTACTTTTCCACTTTCTCTAGATGAGAAATAGTTTCATCATCATTCATAGAGGTGATGTCGACTTTATTAGGATTCTTCTCAGTTAACACATAATAAACATTGAGAAGACTTAAGTAGAAAAATACTTTACCCTTCCATATGTTGAAATGGTTACCATTAAATCGAAATGGCTTGTTAAGGTCTCCCATCTTGACATCCGCGGTTTTTTCAATTGTAGCCATTGTGAATCTTCTTAAAATTGTTAGTGAAAATTTACAAGATAACAAAATTACAAAATTACAATTGGAAATAAAATGAAGAAATAAAAATCTCTTCAGGCTGAGGCGCGGATATCTTGCTCTTTTTAAAGAGATTCAAGCCCACTGCAACAAATGTTTTTCACCAGTCCAGCAGTAGTCCTTCTTGACTTGTTCCCTCCAGGATACAACAGCCTAATCACAAAAGTGTAACTCAACAAATTCTGGATAAGAGTTGAGTCTAAAGCTCCACAAAAAGAGCACGTGCATTCAACTAATAAAAACTCTCTTTTTTTGACAAACTTTATGCACTCTATATTTTTTTTTTGTGCATATTAAACAAATGAAGACCACCTTTATTTATAATAGAAGAAGTCTTCCTAACAATGAATAGGAAGATAATTGGATAGTAAGTAGTGATGATAAATGGCCTATGAGTAACATAGGTTACAAGTATAATGGAGGAATAAAGAGTGAGAATAAAGGAGAAATAATTTAGAGAAGTACTGGCCATGGTTGACCAACTTCTGCCTCAAACAGTAACCTCCAACGGAACCAACAAATAAAGGGCAATAATACATATAGACATTGCTTAACAGGTGAGTAATTAGGCACAAATGCCTAACTCGCAACAATGATTTAGAGGCAGGCTACTCCAACGTATACAGAATATTGTTAATGTGGCAATTCAATGGTACCAATTAATATAATATTAAAATGCCTACACTAACATAGGGTAGATCAAAATCTTAGCAGGGTGAAGGCTCATCCTTGTCATGCCTTGCCGCAATTGCCATCTCTACAAAGTTTCCAACTAAGGAATTTGGTTTTCCCACCTGCTAATCAAATTTTGAAGTTGTCAATTAGTAAATGAAAATTCCTCCGATGGTGTTGTTTCTTTGGTAGTGAGTAGGAAGCCTAGATATTTGCCAAATGAGGATCCTTCTTGCTTACTAAATGATTCTTTTATACGACATTTTACCCTTGTTGGAGAAGAAGACTTTAAATTATTCAAAGTGTTTTTTTTTTGTCTACAACTTAAGCAAAAGAGTCTAGTACATCAATTATGGCATGTCAACTATCTTAAGATATTTATCCTTACAGCAAGAAATTTAGTAGCAGCTCTAGAAAAACAATTCAAATTTCTTGAAGCAAATAATTTTGTGCACATAATTGTATGTCATAGTTCCCAAATTCTCTCCATTACTTACAGTCTGATGTAATAGAGATAATTTAATCAAGTAATAAAAGTTGAATGTGGGTGGGTGATGACTGACAATATAAAGAAAAAAATCAATATTTTTAAGATAAAGAATTATCTCTGTATCTAAGTAGGAGAGCTTTTCAACATGGCCTGCAATCCTGGCTTTTCTTCTCAATAAACAGCTCCTATCACCAATGGTAAATGATAAGTCTTTTCTCCCATGCACCAATATTGCCCCCTAAACAATACCGACATCTAAGAGGCACAAAAGAATGTCCTTTTCCTCCCAACCAATATTATTATATTTTTTTAAAAAAAATGATGAACCTCTTACAGACGGAAAGAAATGAATCTCATAGCCATGCTAGTAATGCAGGTTCTCTTCATAGAATCAGCCAAAAGCAGCAAATCCGAAAACCTGAATATACCTGATCAAATTCAGCCAATCTGAGAATTTCCTCTTCTATTCGATTGTGGAGTTACATAGAATGAAAAAGTCTGCAACTTCTGGATTCCTGCTTTGTGTTTTGTAGTTGGAGTGCAACCTATCGATTACTCCAATATGTGGCAATTCTTTATAAAATCGTTGGAGTAGTCTACATACTTGGTCCAATAAGGACGGAGATGCTCGAAGCCCAACTCCAACCAAGGTTTGGACTGGCCATTGTAATGAATTACAGCAGCCTTCTTCACTTTATCAATGTTGGACTTATTTTGATAGCCCAAGCCGAGCATGTGCCATGAGGGATCAATTGGGTGAACATGACCCTTGAATGCAATCAAAGCAGGAGGTAGTGTTCCAAGCTTCCACATTGTCAGTTTGGACTTCAGATTCTACAAAAGATCACAAAGGCAAGAGTGTTCATTTATAACACATGGCTTTCTTTTCTAGAAAGAAAAAGAGATATTTGTCAAAGAATAGTTATGACATCTTTTCAACTTGAATCAGCACTATATCAGCCATCCGAAGTATTGAACTCTTTATGGATCTACAATAATTGATCACTGTGCTGCTTGCTTAAAAGGATGGGATGGTGCATAATACAAGAGAATCCAATCACCTCAACTCTAAATGTACACCAACCCCATTTAGGGGGTGATATGTATATTGAAGATTACATGTCCTGCTTTCGTGGAGTTTGTACTTTCAATAGTGAAGACAGCAAAAAAACAACAGAATGAAACAGAAAAATTACAGCTTTAAACTTCTTAATCACAACACTTTTGATGTCAAACAGAAAAGTACAATAGTAAATTTAATAGCATCCAAACCAACAAGAAAAGGCTGAACAAGGACATGCTTGTGTAATCTAGAAGAACATTGCAGAAGAAAAAGTTTAATAAGTCACACATTAGACAAAATACAGACATAAGCAAGAAGCATAGAAGAATCTCAGAAATCTTGCATGATCGAAAAATAATCCCATATATGTAGGAACATATAAAACTTAAAGATAAGACAAAAATCATGAACCATGTGAAATCCGACTACCTCTTTAAGCCATGAATGGTAAGTATCTCTTATATTTGTCTTTCTCCATGTATGCAAGTCAAAGATATTCATCCCATAAGCCCATGCACACTCGTCAGGGTTCAAATTTTTTGCTATGAGAGGATGAGAAAAATTAAAGTAGTTTCTGAATCGCTTTGACATCACCCACTCATCTTCTCCTTTACAGGTCTCAACAGCTCCATTCACCTTTCCCTTAAGGTCAATGTCCCACAATGGAGACAAGTCACGCTGAATCACAACATCGTCATCCAAGAAAACCACTTTATGAAGGTTTGGGAAGAGCTGCATACAACACCATAGAATCTCAGATTAGTATAGAAAGAGTATATCAAGACAGACAAGAGGTGAGTAAAGGTCTCATAAAAGAACTTAGGATTAAACCTGCTAATAGCAGGGAGAAAAAGGAAAGATGGTAGTGTCAAGACACGGTCTGGAGATGCTGCTTTTGGAGGGATCTTTAGAGATGATCACAGAAAATGGGTGTTGGGATATTTAGGTAAGATGAAATCTTTGACAAGCCTCACATCAGAATTATGACTCATAAAAAAAGGGCAAACTGTATCTAAGCTAATGGGATACTTGTTGTCTAGCTGATTAAGGATGAGGAAATACTACACCATCCTATTATTGAAGACTCTGTAATATTTGTAATCAACAAGACCTCTATTAAACACATCTCGAGAGAGGCAACCCAGTGTGTCAACTTCCTGGCGAACGAAGGGCACAAGCATGATGAAGATTTAATTATCTGGGGAAATGCATATAGAATTTATACGCATGGTGGACTCTAGCAATGTTGCTTTTGAAAGATTGTAATCATTTGATCTTTCCAGTGTACCAAAAAAAAGAAAGGAGAAAAAGGAAAACAAGAAAATGCTGTTCAAAGCTGCATAGAAGTGTAAGTTTAGTTGAATAAAAAGAGCACTTGGACTGCAACACTTGTAGTCATAGTGGGGACATTTTTAAAATAGCACAATAAAAGTAAAGTAAAGAAAACGAATGATGATAAAGAAAACAAGGCTGAACAACAAATTCAAATCTGGGGGTAATAGTGTTTGCTCATACTGCTTTGGGATTGAATGCTGACAGGAGCCTTGAAAATTGCTAGTTGTAGCTATGGTGCTATGAAGTTCTACACAAAACATGGAAATTTCAATCCTAGTTTCATGCATGAAATGCGAATGATTCGGGGAGCACAAAAGCCTGCACGCTTTAGCAATACAATTGGGATTAGCATTAAACCAAATTCCTACTGGTTCCAGTTATCTATCTATAACATATATATAATAATAAAATTAACAGAATCTTCAATTGTCAGATAACAACTGTAAATAAAATAAACAAGAAATTCTTAAATGTCAGATAAAATTAGCCAACCCAGTTTCTGTTAAACTGATTGAATTATAGCTAAGGTTGATCCATAAAACAAAGAACAAAAGACCTGTCCTAGGCACCTTGCTTAAGCAACACCAACTTTGACTCCGTTTTCATACTTAGGCCTATCATTTCACTCTACTTATATCTTAGAAAATCTTTTCCTGGGTACATTGGACCAAACCCAGTGGGTGTTCACCCAATAGAGTAAACATCTGCATGTGTCTATCAGAAACTGTAAAGCATTAGACATTACCCTTTTATCCAATAAATTTAATGCTAAAGTGGAAGGCAATTATGTTATAAGTGCTACCTCTGGCAAATATATGCGAATGTGATTGAGCAAGGAAATGTATTTTGGGCTTCTAGCCTGCAGTTTTGAGGCAAAAGATCGTGGAGTAGTAGTATCACTGAGATTGGCGCCAGTTACATGGTTTCCATGGTAGTATTTCCGAATCCCATAATGACCCTCAACTGCTTCAAGCACTGGAATATTTTCTCTGGTTAACCAGTCAAACTGATGAATACCTCTAACTTCCACAATCGCTGGAGAGACAGGATTAAGAGCAAACCAGGAGTGCATCCCTGCATATGTTTTCTTGTCAGTGATGACATGGAAAACAGTTTTTTCAGGCCTCAAAGATGACTGCACGGCAGAATTGACCACAACTGAAGCAGCTAGGATGTTATCAGTTGACAATACAAAATGGTGCAACAAGTTCTCGGAAAGGAGAGAGAGTAGTTCTGGCGAAGGCAACTGTCTTCGTGCATGAGCATTAGAGGAGTACTCATCAGTCAGCCGCAGTGAAAGACAGTGAATGCCTTTAGGGACTGCACTAGCAGCAAAGTGCTTATTCATTAGCTCTGCAAATTTTGATTCCCTGATCTCCCTTTCAGATCTCTCCATCTGCAAAATAGCAAATGCAAACATTGTGAAGTAAAGTTTAGCTACGAGGTACATGCACACTTTAACACAATGTATACACGGCAATGAAGGAAGAAATGCTCTGTGACATACTGGTTTTGTACAAGTAAAGTGGGGTACATAAACGAGGACGAATCACATGGTTTTGTACTGGTCAAACAAAGAGTAAAGCATGCAAAAGGTATATGAACATTATGAATCATTTTCCTCAATCAAAAGACACAACAAGCCCATGAGTAACAAGAATAACGGATTTTCTGCAAATAGTGTGCCACTCCGTGCATTTTCACTCCTCATCCATGTTTTTCTTAACTGATATTCAAAGTGGGGAATGGGAATAACTCAGTTAAGCCCTCCCAGTGAACATAATGCTCAAAAGAGTAGGCGAGTGTGACATAGAGGCAAATGCACAGACCAAGTTAATATGTCTAGCAATCAATTGTACATGAACAAAAGAGAGAATGGCTATTTGCACATACCATTCCCTTCAGCATCAAAGCAAATTCTTTTGCACTGTACTTGTTATTTTTCATTTCAGAAACAAGATGAGCATAAGACTCTGGGAGCTTCATAACAGATGGCAGTTCCTCAGAGTTTACTTGATTGAGGATCTTAACAAAATTCTTTACCAGTCTCTGCTGAAACAGAGAAACACTTTGATTAATAAAAGTACTCTGCATTATTGAATAAATGCTTAATACAAGATTGGAAAACAATGGCACGACAAAGCAGCAATAAATGATATAGAGGAAGTTCATTTACTTTTGAATCATCAGTTCGTCCAAGAAGCTTTGGTCCCAATCGTCTACCTAAACAGTCTGAATATCGATTAAACGAGAGTAAAGTTAAGGTTTGCCAGAACTTTAGTTATGTTGTAACAAATCAAAAGTAAAGTGTGATTTAACAATAGTCAGAAGTAAACTGAGCAATGAAAAGAAGCAGCTATTACAAGCATCATAACCACTGGTACTTTGAGGCAGGGTCCCAAACCCCAAAAGAACCCAACCAGGGAAGGGGTCTTCTTTTTTTCTACGGAACAGAAAGAAGAGCACTGAAAGACATCCAAGAACAACAAAAAGACATGATCAGGAGATATGATGCAAAAGTCCTTGTGCTTCAAGATAGCACTGAGTTACATGTGCCAACAATTAACATTTTCTAGACTCCACAAAATGCAGAAGGTAGCATTTCTTACATATATAAGAAGACCGCAGTCCCCTACAAACATAAGCTGGTGTTTACTAGATACCACAGGTGCAAACAACCAAAAATATTAACTAAGCATGCCCCCCACCCCCACCCATCAGCAACCCTCTCTCTTGCATGCATAGACATCCATGAATTGAATTCAATCATGTTTCTGCTACTAAAGTTGAATCAAAGTATATCAAGGATTACAATAAGTTGTTACAACTCATTTATCAGTATCTTTGTCCTTCCCTTTTTATGAGGGTACTTGCCACAAGTTGAAGACATGACTAGGCTCGGGAAAGAGAGAACTCAACTTTCCCCTTAATGTTACACAATCCTGATGTCAAATTAATCATCACAGTTTCAATAGCATTGACAACAATCTAAACTAATAAATAAAAACAGCTATACTGCATTGTCGACAAAGAAATAACAAGAAGAAGTTTGTCTCAATGCCAAACTAGACCAGGTCGATAACATAACTGATGAAAGTTAAAAAAAAAAGAAAAAGAATCGCAATATACAATATAAGCTACGGAACAATAACAAGAAAAGGAAAACATGAACATCCACTGAAAAGGAACCAGCAATGGTGTAAAATACATCAGGATTAGGAAGCTAATTGTATAAAGGAAAAAGGATATTGATTTTAAGTACCAAATGAGGAGCACTTGTTGACGCCTTCAAGGGTAACAAGAGCAGTGAGAATGAAGACAAAAGGCAACAAAAAAGCTAGGAGAAGTATTGTATGAAAGAGTCTTCTAAAGTTGAAATGGCGAGGTGCGAGTTTGATCTTCATTAATTCACCAAACCCTCCATTGTTATTGCTGCTCGATATTGTTATACTTCTCATGCTAGGTGAGAAGTGCAGCTGCATCTTCCTCCTGTAACTCCAATCACCACCCAATCCCAATCCTCCACAATCCCAGCACCCCCAATGATGCCACTACCCTCTTCTCGATTCCTTAAACAATACGAACACAATGGTGTTTTTTTCACCATCAGATCCAACACGACACCAATTAAACAATCTTGATCGCTTCAAATCTGAAGTTCGGGGTCTCTTCCGAGACCAATGGCATTTGAATGGGAGACCCTTTATTCTTCCGTTTACCCCAATCCTGAAAACCAGCGGAATCCTTTATAAATGGAAAACGTTTAGGGCTGCTTGAATCAGTTTCAAGAGGAAAACACACACATAAGTGTGTGTAATGAATTCATCATATCTATGTATGTGTGAATGAATGAATCAATGAAATTTGAAAAATGATAAACCTGAGGATGATACAGTTTTAATGGTAGATGAATTTTGTTACTCCCTCCATTGGAGGATTGAACAGAAAGAAAGAAAAGAAAGAAAAGAAAAGACACAAAGAAAGAAAGAGAGAGGGGGAGAAGGTATTTTGGAATTTCCTTTTTCTGTGTGTTTGTGTGTTCTTTCTAATTTTGATTTGGTCAATGGCAGTACTATTTCCTCTCAAGGTTACAAAATAAATTTTAAAAACAGAAAAAAAATCTTTCAATTTTTAAAAGTATTTAGAATCTATTGGGTTGATTAATGAAAATTTGCATGGTTTACAACTTCTTCTTTTTTTTTTTTTTTTTGGGGGTGGGGAGCTAATTCGTTGTCTTCTTTTCTTGTGGTTAACTGGCTGCATATTATGTATTAACTTAACAATAAGCATGTATCAGAAGTACAACGAAAAAGAGGAATCATATAATGGATCTTATGTTACATGTATGGTCTATGGTGCTATAAATATCATCCTAGTAAAAATCACGGTTTACGTGAATTGGCAAAGTATACATAGGGAGGCTCGAGGATGGGAAGAGAAAACATTTGCCTAAATACCCGGTGGCCTAGAGGAACACTTAGGTGTGGTGTGAAGAGCTAGTATGGGATGTCACTTCATATCTTACTTAAGTGGGTCTTAGGGCTACTACAGTTAGGGACCCTAAGATGATTGCGATGCCCTTCTTGATGTATATGTTCTTGTATTGTGTTTTGACATTGAAGGATCATGAGGAGAAGGGTAAGTTCACCTTTGGTGGAATTGTGATGATAATGACTTGGTTGTTGGTAATACTTGTATTTGATGCCTCTTATTCTTATGTTCATGGAATATCTTGAAATTGGTATCATGCATGGTTTCGAAACCAAAATGTCCGTTTTAGCATGTTTTTTCATTGCCATCATACTTAGTACATTTTTGTGTACTAACTCAATATTTTCCGCTATGTCTACAAGTGTAGGTTCTGGCAAGTGACTTGCTAGTTTTAGTGAAGACTTGGATTGAGACTCCCAAGTTAGAGTGGTATGTCCTCATCATTCGGGGACACATTTTAGAAGCTTTATGTTTTGTTCTACTTATTCGTATTAGACTCTTTCTAGACATTTCAAGTGTAAAGGGGTCGTGACCCTAATTATGTTGGTTTTCTAAGATTCTATTAAGATGACCATGTGAGAGAAGTAGACATCAGCTGCAATGTTTTAAATGTTTGGTATGTTTTGAATCGTATGGTTTTGAATGAAAAGTTTTAATTCTGTACAATTTCTAATAGCTATGCGATGAATGAATGCTATGAGGCTTGTATTGGACCCCCTTCGGGGGCGAGTATGCTGTGTCGCATTCGAGGCCTAGACTCGGGTCGTGACAAACATGGTATCAGAGAAAAGATTTTGGAATAGTACTTTTAGGATGTCGTCTCACAAGCCACATCTAGTAGAATCTTGTTTATCGGTGTGAGTCACGACACATCTATGAGCGAGAGGCTATAGGACGTTAGGATATTTCACTTTCTTTATACTCCTATGTTGTGCCATAGAGCTAGATCTATAGTGTCCTTTTCCTGACCCCTTATCTTGTGTAGGAGGGTGGAAGATGGTGTGAATAAAGAAGCTCCTCCTCTAGAGAAACAAGCTTCTCAAGGTAATCAAGTTTCTCTAGGTGGTCAAGTTCCCCAAGTTGAGGAAGTCCTTCAAGATCCTCAGGTTCCTGTTGATGAATGAGCTATGACTAATGTGGAGATAAGGACGACTCTCCAAACCTTGACTCATGCTTTGACGACTCAAGCGACTAGGGATGCTAGAGCTCATGAGAACCCTAATGAGAGCACTATGTCTTCGAGGCTTAAGATTTTTCACTAGAATGAATCCTCCAAAGTTCTTTGGCTCTCAAGTGGGTGAAGACCCTCGATAGTTCCTAGATGAGGTTTATAAGATTGTAGATGCTATGGGGGTTACTACTAGGGAGAAAGCGGAGCTGGACGCTTATCAATTTAAAGGTGTGGCACAAGTATGGCATACTCAATGGAAGAGGAATAGGCCGGAAGGAGCGGATGCTATATGTTGGGAGGTGTTCAAGAGAGCTTTCTTTGATAGATTCTTTCCGAGGGAGAAAACGGAGGCAAGGGTAGAAGAGTTTATCAAACTTCGTCAGGGAGGTATGGGTGTTGAATAGTATTCTCTTTTACTAAGAAATGATGAAGTATGTGTGCCTAATGAGTTTGTAGAATGCAATGAATACATGTTGAGAAAAAGTTGATGTTTCTTTTAGTTTGTGCATGGATTATGATGTTGTATGTTTGTTGGGCTGCTAGTCTCGAGTCGTTTTCCCTTGATGTGTTTAAGTGTCATTCCAGGATGCATGTTCCTAAGTAGGGGATAATGTAACGACTTGGAAAATGATAAGATGAACTAAAGCCTTTAAGTTTGGGTTAATGTGACCTTAAGTTGATGTATGGGTTGTTTAAGACCTTTTGGCGATGGGCAGCCTTGGTTGCCCAATGGCTTCCCACATCGCCTAGTGGACGACCCACCTAGTGAGCCTATTGGAAAAATGGGCGAGCTAAATGTGTACTTGGCGAGTCGCCAGGTGCCCTTGGCAAGCTCAAGTTTCCAAAGGGCGACCTAGGTGCTTGATCGCCAACTTGTTTGGTGTGCCGCCCTTTTCCCCTCCAATCGCCCATTGAACATCCCTCTTGAGTGAGACACTAGAACAAAGGGCGGACCAAGTGTGCATTAGGCGAATTGCCTAGTGCACTTGGCGAGCCCAAGTGTCCAAAGGGAGAACTCAAGCGGGCAAGGGGCAGAAATTTTAAGTTAACTTTAGGGTCCTTAGTTCTTTTCCAAAATTGACCCTATACTATTCTACACTTTTCCTAGCAACTATATAACCTTATTATGACCTAATTCCTTTCATTTTAAGCTCCTCCAAATAGAATTAAAAGAAACCCATCTCCTCTCAAATTTTCTCTCACTAGAAACCCTCCATTAGTGAAGGAGAAGAAGGGAGCTATTGAGGCTCGGGTTTGCAGATGTCAAGGTCGTTTCTTCTCAATTTCTTGTGGTTATCTTCGAATTAAGGTATGGTGTCTCTTTATCTAGGGTTATCTCTCACCCTAGAGTCCTATCAAAGTGTTTTTCAAAGCTTGGAAAGCGTCAAAAACTAGATCTTTCACTCTCCAACATGGGTTCAAAGTTTTATTGTTTTAAATGGCTTTATTATAAAGTAATGTGGTTGTATTTATGTTGAATGATGGTTTTTATGAAAAACCCTCTCAAAGAACCCATGTTTTCCTAAAGTCTTCAATGGTGCCCTAAGAAGTGGGTTTGTGGATTGTTCAAGCATGTGACTATGAGATGCTTAAACTGAATGAGTTTAGTAAAGTAATATGATTATGCATGCCTAATTATGAAGAATTGTTGGTATGTGGTGATGTATTCATTATGGCCTTGTAAGGCAAATTCATGATTTAGTTTATGTTGATATAGAAGTGTGATCTATTGATGTGTGATCCACTTATGGTGGAGGTGGTGACTTCCTATGTACATAATGGTAATTAAGTTGGTAGAAGTCTTCTTATTACCTTAATTGTGAAGAATAGATGCATGAATGTGATATGAAATGTGTAAGTATGAACATGATATTAAGAATGTGTGTGTGGTCTATGACTAGAATGCAAGTGTGCTAGTATTGAAATGACATTCTCAATTATGCACTTATGAATGAAGATGTTTGCATGTGGAAGGTTTTCTTTCTTTTTAATGCATCTTGAATTGGTAGACTTAGGTTTCCTTTTCTTGAAAGCATGTATGAAGTTATATGATGATGGATGTTATGATGTGTTGATTTGAAAGGTTATTCTCAACTCTTCACTAAAGTATGTTAAAGGATTCTTATATGAAAGGTTATTCTCATGTTTGAATCTATGAGCTATCCTTAGGTTGGGAGAGGATGGATGCCCGTATCTAGTAGCAATCCTTGGAGATGGATACCCATACGTTAGTTGATGCGGGGTTATCTAGCAACAATCTCTATCCCCAAAAGACTTATGGAAGTTGGAATGAGATGGATACCCATACATTATTTGAGGTGGGGTTATCTAGTAACAATCTCTCTTTCTTAATGAACAAATGACATGAACTACTCTATAGGAATGAAGGCTAAGCACTGAGAGGTCATTCAGTGGGATGGATGCTCTCACGATAGTTGAGGCGGGATATCTAGTAGCAATCCATTGTGATGGATGCCCATACGTTAGTCGAGGCGGGCTGCCATGTAGCAAGTTCTTTGTCCCTTAGCTATGTGCCCACATAGGATAGCTAGTGGATCCATTAAGCTAATCACCGATTGACCCCAGGCAAGCTCATCACCTTTTTTATGGTATGGTGTTACATGACACCGGATCCTATGATTTAGCTCTCATAGTCTATGTCAGTTAAATGCTTATTCCCATCATGTGAGGTACCCATTATGGTTTCTTGAGAAGTTCTATGACGTGTGGGAAGTAGTATGGGATGCTATCCATGCATTTGCGCGAGTAGGCTTCAAGAGGGCTATAGTGAGAATCTCTACTTCCTAATGCAAGAATGTGTTCTAAATGAACAAATGAAGCAAGTTACCTTTATGTTTACATGATATGATGTACGTCTCGCATGTCTATATGAAATGATGCATGTCTTCCATGATATAATGTATGTCGTAGTTGACCAATGATATGAAGCATGTTTCACTTGAGTTTGTGATATAAGTTGTTTAGCATGATATGTTGAAATGAGAGGAGTCTTATATATGGTGGCCTAGAGGATGACTTAGGTGTGGTGTGAAGAGGTAGTATGGGATGCCACTTCATATCTTACTTAAGTGGGTCATAGGGCTATTATAGTTAGGGACCCTAAGATTATTGTGATGCCCTGTTTGATGTATTTGTTCTTGTTTTGTGTTTTGACATTGAAGGATCACGCCGAGAAAGTTAAGTTCACCTTTGGTGGAATTGTGATGATAATGACTTGGTTGTTGGTAATACTTGTATTTGATGCCTCTTATTCTTATGTTCATGGAAT